GGTAGTGGATCAGTATTTATCTGTAGTGTACGAATGAACTTTGGGAGCCCAATCCACATAGAGAGATACTCTCTCAGCCTAGACACATGGGGGAGGGCCTAGGCCCTGCTCCAAATGATATGACAAACTTTGAAGATCCCCCATGGATGGCCTCACCCTCCCTGGGGAGCAGAAAGGGGGTAGGGTAGGGGGCAAGTGGGGGGGCAGGGGAGGAGGGGACAGAGAAGGAACTGGGATTGACATGTAAAAGAAGTTTGTTTCTAATTTAAATTTAAAAAGGAAAAAAACTCAGACAAACAAACATAAAAAAGAAGCGTCTCTGTTTTTTTTTTAAACTAGCTAATTTTTTTTTCAGCAAAAGGTAGCATATTATTCTGTTCTCCACATTCTCTGTAAATTGTTATGGAGATCTACGGTTTATCAATAATGTAGGATTAACCAGATTTGGGTTAAACTGTATTTGTCAAGTATAATTTCATAGGTGTTGGTGAGTCTATATATAAAGGGATAGGTTTCTTGGTTCTCTTTGTTTTGCTAGTTGCCAATGATCTTATTTGTCTAAATCTTTTTACATCATTAGAACTTATGAAGTTTTATGTTGATTCCTTTTTTAAAAAACAAAATTGATTGCTGTTTATTATGAAGGGAAACTTTCTCTTATTAACCATCTTGTTACCATGAGATAGTTTATACAGGAAAACCAATATAAATGTTTAATTTGGGTATGAAATCAGGAAGGATAGCTCCCCTCTCACTGAGCAACACTCAGACCTAGAGTTAATGTGTAGATTAACAAGTTATTGTCATTTGTGTTAACTGATTAATATGTTTTAACTAATTAATGTTCTTTAAATAAATTTGACTAGTAAAATGAAAGCGTGTTGATAGTATTTTGTCAAGTTGATATGGGAAGAGGGACACTCAATTGAAAAAAAAATGCCTCCTTCAGATTGGCCTGCAGGGGGCATTTCTTGATTAATGATTGATGTCAAGGGCCTGCCTCACTATGGGTGGTACTACCCTAAGGTAAGTCATCCTGGGAAGTAGAAAAAAATGTAGCTAACTTGAGCTGTGAAATCTAAAGGATTATGAGAAGATGATCACCCTGTCCCTTGGAGCACAGCCATGCCAAGGACCCCAATATCTCAAACCCATGGAAATGGCAAAGGCTTCCTCTGGTCCAAATGGGAATGCTGGCAGTGTATGCTAAAGCTATCAACCGCAACTCCTTCCTCTGGGTTGATGGTAGTCAAAGACTGCTCCCTACGGGTGCCTCCTACCAGATCAGCTACAACTGCCTCCTGCCCCCAGTTGTGCACCATAAACGCATCTCTTTATTCAGCTGTATACAATAACCCTGTCTCCTCAATTCACATGTATAAAATAAATGTGCTGAGGATCTGGGATGCAGCTGGTGCCCTCCCTCAGGGTGAACACGACCCATCCTACCTTGTTCTGTACACGTGCCAGTGTGCCTGTCTTTCCTCCGTTCCCTCCTCGCCCCAGGCAGGTTTCCAGGACCAAGCCATGCAGGATGCAGCACAATGCTGCAAAGAGATGCAGGCTGAGCTCTGCTGCTGACTTATGACCTGTGCTGCCTAGTTCTGCTAGTTCTGTGTCAACATGACACAAGCTAGAGTCAGCAAAGAGATGACTCTATTTTCTCTATTTCTCAACTGAGAAAATGCTGCCATAAGATTGGGCTTCAGGCAAGCCTATAGGGCATTTTCTTAATTGGTGATTGAAATATGGGGCCACCCTTGGGCTAGTGATCCTGGGTTCTATAAAAAAGCAGGCTGAGCAAGCCATGAGGACAAGCCAGTAAGTAGTAGCCCTCCATGGCCTCTGTATCGGCTCCTGCCTCCAGGTTCCTGCCCTTAATGATTTTGATGATGGACTATTATATGGAACTGTGAGTGAGATAAACCATTTCCTCCCAAGGTTGCTTTTTTTCATGACAATTCATCACAGCAATACTAACCCTAACTAAGACATGCCTAAAGTATTGCTGTGAGGAAATGTCATGAAGAAAAGAGTGTGGGTATTGAAGGTACTATGAGGCTGGCAGGACTAAACAGTACTTTAGGAAACATTTTGGCTTCATATTAGGAAGAAATGTATGTGTGGAGGAATTGTGGGAGATTTTATAGGAAGACAGGAGTTTAAACTTAAGGTATTGAATTGTCTTGGTAGAGAGAGGGGGCAGGTAGTTTGGTGAGATCACAGTCATTAACTGAAGCAATGTATGTATATGTAGGAAATCGAGCTGAGCCTCTGGAAGAAACCCAATGTGATTGTCATAGCCAGGTTCTGACCAAAGTGTGGCAAGAAGGATACCTGTAGGTAGTGATCTCACTTACCCACAGCACTGACCATGCCCATTTACCATGGTCACAGGTACGTGGGGGAAGGCAGAGATACAGGTCAAGGAAGGAGGGGTCACTCTCTCTTGGGGTTCCAGTTGAGGTCGGAGACCAGCAGAGCACTGACCTCAGTTCTCGGCTTCTCATGTAAGTGATTTCTTCCTAATAAAATAGCATACGACATCCATATCCTGTGTATGGTAATCCTCCGCATCAGATGGCAAGTAAGAAATTGGGGGGACTTGGAAGGAGTTTGGTGTGGGAGGAAACCAGATTCCAGGTAGGTGACTGGGAGAGGAGAGCTAATCCTAGGCAGTTCTGCAATTTGACATGGGGGCTTCTCCCAGGTCTTCTAGGAAAATTGAATAAGTATTTGAAATCCCACATTTCCAGGGATGTTTGCATTTTAATAGGAATCAAACTGGTAAGCTACAGTTGGATGTGTCCAGTTGATGGACAAGTATCTCAAGTGAGATGGGAGCCTGGTGACTTTTTAAAGCTATACATCTAGTTCAAATCATACATCTTTAACAACTAGGCAATCCAAGTAACAGTGAGTTTCTCATTTTTCTTTCTTTCTTTTAAAATTTTTTTAATTTAAATTAGAAACAAGCTTGCTTCACATGTCAATCCCAGCTACCTCTCCCTCCTCTCCTCCCCCTCCAATCCCCACTGTGTTCCCCAGGGAGGGTGAGGCCCTCCATGGGGGATCTCCAGAGTCTGTCATTTGTTCAGGGCAGGGCCTAATCACCACCAATAGTTCAGGCTGAGAGAGCATCCTTCATTGTGGGATGGGCACCCAAAGTTCATTTGTATGTCAGGGATATATACTGATCTACTACCCAAGGTCCCACAGATTGCCTAGGCCTCCTCACTAACACCCACATTCAGGGGGTTTGGATCAGTCCCATGCTGGCTTCTCAGCCATCTGTCTGGGGTCCAAGAGATTCCCCTTGTTCAGGTCAACTGTTTCTGTGGGTTTCACCAGCCCAGTCTTGGCCCCTTTGCTCCCCACTCCTCCCTCTCTGCAACTAGGTTCCAGGAGTTCAGTTCAGTGTTTAGTTGTGGGTCTGCCTCTACTTCCATCAGTCACTGGAGGAAGGTTCTAGGATGGCATATAAGGTAGTTGTCAATCTCATTATCAGGGAGAAGCATTTAAGGTAGTCTTTTCACTATTACTTAGTTTGCCAGTTGGTGTCATCCTTGTAGATCTTTGGAAATCTCACTAGTGCCAGATCTCTCCTCAAACCTATAATGACTCCCTCTATTATGGTATCTCTCATGCTGCTCTCCTCTATTCATCCCCTGACTCAACCTTCCTGCTCTCCCATGCCCTCCTCTCCCCTCCTCTTCTCCCCCTCCTCCATGCTCCCAATCTGCTCAGGAGTTCTTGCCTCATGCTCCTTCTCTGGGGTACCATGCATATCTCTCTTAGAGCATTGGTGTGGTAGGGGTACTGGAGGGCATCTTGGGAATCCTGAGCTCGGTCTCTGGGGTGGACAAAGAATTGAAAGTCCGGGAAAGATGGAAGACCAAGTCCCAGAGAAAGCTAAAGGGAAAACTATCCCTTTGGGATGTAAGGGACCCTCAGCTGACTCTGGCTTGAGTGGGTGGGGCCTCTAGACCCTTTCCTTTCCCCTATTGGTCCTGTTTAGATTCCCACCCCATGCCTTCTCCTCTTTTTCCCCTAAATGTCCTCTGAGAATAAGTATCATCTTAGGGACTTCAGTTTTTCCTTTTCCTATCTACCCATTTCCCTAATTCTCCCTCACTGGGGATTGAACCCAGGGCTGCGTTCATGCCAGTCAAGTGCACTGCTGCTAAGTCATAGCCCTGGTGACCCAAACTTACTGTTAGCTTTCATTATCAGGTCATTCCCAAATAGCTGTTTTTAAAGCCTCTCCTGTTTCTTTCTTCTCAGAAAGGACACTAAGCGATATAGACATAAGGTTTCTAGAAAGGCATGTCAAATGATAAGAGCAAGTATATACAATTTTACATATGAGCTAGATTCTATTCTATCAGAAGCCTTTGTGGGGAACCCGAAATGATATGGTTAGAAAGTACTCTCTGCTTTAAAAATTTTCTCCTTGATGAGCCTATTGACCATTTCAAGTACCTGGCTCTCCCTCCCTCCTCCTGCAGGCTCTGGTTCCTTCACCTGCCAAACACATTTTTGATCCCGACTCTGCCACCATTCACCTGCAGTGAAGTTTCCCTTGATGGTCTACTCCTTCATTGTTATAGGAATCACCTTGGCCAGCAGGTGGTTCCTATAAACCATGTGTCCCGGTTATCATGCATGTCATAGTCACTCTGTCTTATCTCGGTCCCCACATAGTCTTACTTCACAACCCTCACCACTAGCTGTTTATATCCAAGTCCCCACTAGACTGTAGTGGAGGGTAGGGCTGTCTGAATTCACAGTGCCTACCTTTCAGTATACTGGAAAAAATGTTGCTGAATTCATCTGCTTGGCTTTTAATTAGACTATCAGGGACAGGACTGTGACCTCAGCTTAACCAGTCAGAGCCCCTCTAGTTACCCCGGTGTCTGTTACTTCTGTGGCATGGGTGATAGTCACTGAAACAGACTTCTTTGTCCTGAGTCAGTGTGGGTCTTTGCTACCTACCTAGTGGTTGGAGCCTCAAATGCTGCTCAAATGGAAGTAGCACTGAGGGTCCGGTGCTCTGTGCCCTTGTATTCGACACCCAGCAGGTGCCAGCAGACTGCAGCCAGACCTGTGTGTAACTCATGCGGTTAGTCACGTTACATCTTAGTTCATACTTGGTGTTCTATGCTTGCGGTGCCCACTTGACTCTAGCGAAGCTAGTTAATAGCAGGTTGTTTTCATCCTTCTCTCACCACCTCCTTCCTCTCTTTTGATTTGGTCAGTTTTGTTTATGCTGTGAACATTTTATTCCACCATCACAAACAACTCTGTTTAATGTGCATGAATTTTTAAAAGAATTGGATTTTTATGGTATTGTGTACAGTTAATGGCAACCCACAGGTTGTGCCGAGATAAAGGTTGGGGAATGGCTAGTGTAGAAGCAGAGATCTGGGATTCATCCAATAGCCATGGCTACTGGAAGGGAGTGCAAGCAGCCTTCCTGACTTAAATATTGTCTCCAGGCTGAGGAAGAACCATTAAACAGACTAGACAAAAGCCAAAGAATCTGAATTGACTTTTTAGGAACATATATCTTAAATATTAAAGTGGTTTTGGTGCTTCCCCAGTGCTAACGCTTCCCCCAACTTTTTAAACCTATGAAAATGCTCAATACCAGTAAACACTAAGCATTTTGTTTAAATATTAAACTTTAAAGTGCTACATCAATTTTTAATGTGCAAGCTATCCTTGAAAGGCTCCACTAAGCTGCTCTTCCCTTCAGAGAAACATTTGAGAGGCACCAGACAAGCTCTCCAATTACAGGGAAAAGGCCACGTGCTTCAGGCACTCTGAGGAGCATCTCTGGGAAGATGATATGTGGACACACACTTTGCATCCCTCACAGTTTCCGTTTCCAAGACTGGAAGCTGCAGCCCCAGGAACTTCTTTAGTCAACAGTTTAGTCAACAACTGCTGAGTTGAAGACAATCTTCTAGAGCGTGCCAGCAAAGCAGCTTTCACTGGTGGCTTTAATTTTCTGGTGAAAACGTGCTAGAGCAGAGGTTCTTAACCTTCCTTTAATACAGTTCCTCATGTTGTGGTGACCCCCAACCATAAAACTGTTCTCATATCTACTTCATAACTGTAATTTTGCTACTGTTATGAATAGCAGTATAAATATCTGTGTTTTCCAATGGCCATTGTGACCACCAAAGAGGTGGTGACCCACCGTTTGAGAATCACTGTGCTGGAGGGAGAAATGCACGTGTCATCTGATGAGGGCAACACGGATAAACAAAAGGCCCAGAGACTGACATTGGGGTTCAAGCTTCAAGCTGAAGATCAGAAAAGCAAAGCAGCCGGCCACTAGCTTCTTACGTCTACCTCAGGCTGAATGGGATGATCCTGTCTCCACAAGCTTTCACCAAGCATCAGACTGAATCCTCTCCTCAGCGTGGCTGGAGAATGAATGTCTCTCTGAGACCTTGCTTATATACTTCCCTAATGATGATATTAAAGGCGTGAGCTATAATTCTTTTTTAGAGTGATTCACTCTTGTGTAGACCTGGGTGGCCTTGGACTCACAGAGATCCGTCTATATCTTAATTCTGAGTCCTAGGATTAAAGGTGTGTACCACCACCTCCTAGCTTCTGACTGCTGGGAGTAAAGGTGTGTGCCTGGCTTCTATGGCTTGTGGCTGACTTTGCTTTCTGAATCCTCAGGCAAGTTTTAATAAATCATAAATAATATATCACTACATATGAGTTACTGCACTATTTGAAGTGGGGTTTTTAGCCCTGGTCAGTGCCACGGGTACCTAGTAAGATTTCTCCCTACAATGTTACAATATATTGTATATATTATTATATTATATTATATTCTTTGTGGTTACATGACTGGTAAGGACCTAAAGTGATTGAACAGGGATTTGTAGAAAGGTGAGTATGAATACTGAAGCTGATCTCAGGTAGGATGGTCCTACCTGATGATAGAGAGTGCTGTTGCTATAAGGGCTGTGAGATGCCTCTGATAATTAGCTTAAACAAGACAGGACTAATGTTCTGCATGGTGGCACATGTCTAGCATGATGACACAGGTTGATTGTGAATTCAAGGTCTGACTGTGGTATATACTGATTTCCAGGCCAGATTAGGCAAATTCACACAGACTGTCTTCATCCTCAGACAGAGAGAGATGGAGACAGAGACAGACAAACTGACAGACACACAGAGATACACAGAGAAAGAGACATAGACACACACAAGAGAGAGAGAGAGAGAGAGAGAGAGAGAGAGAGAGAGAGAGAGAGAGAGAGAGAGAGAGAGAGAGAGAGAGAGAGAGAAAAGAGGTTTGGTTCACGGCTTTGGAGGTTCTAGGGCAGGTAGCTAGACCCCATGGCTCTGAAATTTTGACCAAGAAGCACACCGTGGTAGGATGTGTACTGAAGGAAAGCTAACACTTCATGAGCCAGGGAGCAATGAGAAACAGAAAACACATGAACAAACAAGAAAACAAAACAAAACCCAGGATCCCACAATCCCCTTCAAGGGCCTGCTTCGTATGACAAAACTTGTTACCTCTAGTTCTTACCCTGCAAAGGGTCCAGTACCTCCCCATAGTGCTGATGTGCTAGATCTAAGCCTTCAGAGGCTAGTTAACACCTACATTGTGGCAAAAACTAAGTACAGACTTCATCTGTTTACTTCTGTTCTAGTTTCATTTCTGTTGCTGTGATAAAATCCTCTATCAAAGAGCAACTTAAGGAAGAAAGGGTTTACTTGGCATATACATCTAGGTTATAGTCCACGGTTGTAGGGAAGTCAAGGCAGGAACTTAGTGCATCATATCCTCAGTCAAGAGCAGAGAGAGAATAAATACATGGATCCTTGTTTTGCTCGCTTGCTAGGTACTCAGCTAGCTATGTCTATTCTTATACAGTCCAGAGTCTTGCCCAGGAAATGGTACCATCCACATTCAGGGTGGGTCTTCCCACTTCAGTGAACTCATCCAAGAAACTCCTCCAAAGACATGTCTACTGGCCAGCCCTAATCCATAGACTCATCATCTCTTCCCATGTGATTCTAGGTTGCATCAATTTCAAGTTAACAATCACAACTTCCTTCCTTTACTCATTTTGGCTTAGTTATTGAAGTTCTTTGTTAAGAGTCTCAAAGTCAGGAAGGTCTGTGTGCTTCAGAAATGTCATGCTGAATGCTAGCATGTTTGAACCCAAGAACTATGAGGAAGATGGTACAGGACGCGGATGGGTTTGAAGCCTGCCCTGTCATTAGCCATGCCGCAAGAATAGGCAGGCACACATACCTTCTGACGTCCATCTGGTCTTAGAAAGCTCTGAGAAACATGTGAACTGGAATGTTCAACCCCTAAGGCTAATCTTTATTATTACTGTTCTGCCAGATTGTTTGTGATAAAAGCCTGACCAAAAAAGGTTTGAAAATTAGAAAAACAGTAAAAGAATGAGAATGCTTGCTATTTGCAGTTTCAGGGCCAAGGATTTTATAATGAATTACTGAATTATGAGTAGTGTGGGGAAGAAAATTATGTGCTTAGACTCTAGGCCTAGGCCTTTACTAGTGACCCCAAAAAGGACCATATTTGTGTTTGAAGATGTTTAGTCTTTCCATATCTTACCACAGAGACACTTTCATATCCATATTTATTGTTTCCCTATTCACAATAGTAAGGAGATGGGACCAGCCCAGATGTCTATCAACGGATAAGTAGATAATGAAAATGCTACATGTACACAATGAATAAAGAAAAATGAGATTATGAAATTTGAAGGAAAATGGATAGAATTGCAAAGTATCATATTTAACGAGGAAACAGACTCAGAAAGACAAATGTTCTCTCTCATATATGGATCCTAACTTTTAATGTGTACATAAATGGGTGAGAGTGCAGATAAAGGCTAAGAAAGACAAATATTCTCTCTCATATGTGGATCCTAACTTTTAATGCATATATAAATGGGTGAGAGTGCAGATAAAGGCTAAGAAAGACAAATATTCTCTCTCATATGTGGATCCTAACTTTTAATGCATATATAAATGGGTGAGAGTGCAGATAAAGGCTAAGGAACAAGAAAAGAAACTAAAAGTGGGTGGGAGAGGCGGTGAAAGGCAGAGGGCAAAAGGACGCCTGTGACTGGAAAGTGGAAAGGAGCCTGGAGGGCTGACACAAGGGTGTTCAAGGAGACAGGAGAGACGCAGGGGGGAGGAAAATCAACTAAGATTTTGTTTGGAAATATAATGCAATCTAATATTTTGCCTTTGTTTTGGTTTTTGAGACAGGGTTTCTCTATGTAACAGTTCTGACTTTCCTGGAACTCGCTCTGTAGACCAGGCTGGCTTCAAACTCACAGAAATCCACCTGCCTCTGCTTCCCAAGTGCTGGGAATAAAGGAGTGCCCCACCACTGCCTGGCTGAAATCCAATACTTTGCATGCTAATTAAAAAATAAACTAATAGTTGCTGGAGCAATGGCTCAGCTCTTAAGAGTGCTTGCTGCTCTTGCATACCTGTGTTTGGTTCCCAGCATCCTCATGGTTCATGTATCTGTAACTCCAGTTCCAGGGAATCCAACACCTTCTTCTGGGCACCCGGCGTGCATGTGGAACACATACCTACGTATAGGGAAAACACTCATACACATAAAATAATTTTTTTAAATCTTAAAGAATAACTTAATAAAAAGAAAGCTGAAAGCCTACGTTGTACACCTATTATCTTTACTTTTTGATAGATAATCCGCTAACAACATATGGCTACCTAAGTTAAAATCACATGTGACAAAAGTCACTTCCTTTGTGATGTTTACTATACTTCCACTGTAGCACAGGTGGATGAGGGCTCTGAAAGCAGACAGCATAGATATGGAACATTCTTATCATGGTGCAGAACCCTATGGAGCAGCATTGTAGGCAGTATGAAGAGGGTAAAAAATGGGGGCATTTTGCTGTTTCCACTAGATGCCCTCTCCTGCTTCCTTCTGTGGTTGCTCCAAACTTTGGCTGGCTGAAGCTTTGTAGCATGCCACTTCTTCACCACTTTGAACAGGGGCTGTGACTTCTGTGCTGTAAAGGAACGAGCACTAGATGTGGACCTGTCTTCCTGTCCCCTACAGCCGCGTCCACATTGTACCTTGTTTCTCTGTGTTCTCACCAGCACTTGCTGTTTTCATTGCCTTTTCTCAGCCTAATGGATGTCTGGTGACGCCATACCTGTTTCATTTTCCCATGGTCCATGTTGTTGAACCAATCTCCACATGACTACTTGCCATGCTTCCTCCTGAGTGACATGTCAGCTTGTGGTTTTTGATGAAAAATCTGCCCAATTTCTAATTAGGTTTTTGCTTGCTAACTCTTGACACCTCTTGATGCAGAGTACATACAGAATATTTACTAGATATGGGCTTGGGGATTTTTTCTTCTGAGTGCAGCCTATCTTTTCATCTTCTTTACAGAATTTTTGAGAAAGCAAAAGTTTTTAATTTTCATAGTCTCACTGATATGTTCAGTGTTAATGTTTAACTAAACCTGCCAACAGCTTGGGAGTACAAAACTGCACTATGTCCCCTGCTGCAAACCCCTTCCTGTTCTACTGTGATGGCAGCTGGTGCCAGCCTCACTCACCTGGTGCACAGAACATGGAAGTCATCCTGGATGCTTCTGCTTCTATAGCTTCTGCCACCATGCACCTACTAAAATCCCATTGATTTTCAGTTACTTTTCCTATCCATTGATTTTGTTTTACCCTCATTGCCAATCATTTGGATCATTGCATGGAGCTAATTGCATTTCTGGCATCCAAGCTTGCCTGATACAAAGCCAGTTTCCACATTGCTAGAGAATAGGCACATTTGGGTGCAGTACAGTTATTTTATACCCCTGCTGAGAAAGAAACATAAGTAGCTTGCTATGCTCTCCAAAGTGAGGGTTAAATCTGAAACCCAATGAACACTCATTCTAATGTAGCCTCCTCTGCTTGTTACTCCTTCCCATGCTAGACACCACCTCCAGTTATTTTCAGTTTCTTGTGGTTTCTCAGATGAATGGGCATTCATGATTCTGATGCTCCATTTGTAATGTATTTCCAGGTCTTTCCTTGAGACTTCTGCTCTGCATGCAAGAATCAGCACAAGGGCGTTTCTTCCAAGGAGATCTTCTCAATTATGCAGTGAGTGTTCTGAATACTACCAGTCAAGGTAGGAGGTAAGTCTGTAGATGTGTGTTTATTTCTACAGCCAAGCAAAACATGTGGTACATAACTTACAAACTAAGTAAGTAAATCTCAATATTGACCAGGTCTCTGTCCATCTTCACCAACTTGCAATTTCTCGAGGTGGAGAATCATCTGTAGTCTCTATCACAGTGCATGCTAAGAAACCCTTGTTTGATAAATGGATGAAACACAGGGACATCCCTGAAGTGCAATGCACTTCAAGTTCATCATGTTTTCCCTTTGATCATCTCCAGAGGTGAAATTGGAACCTAGTAGTAAAAAAGTATGGACGAGATCAGCAATTATTGATGTTTTAATGTTTATATCCCCATGGCTAAGTGAGCACTTCTAATTCAGGTGTGGCTGAATCTGTCCTGAGAAGCCCCAGGAAGGCAGAAGGCTACTTATGTTGTCCATAATTTAGCAGGGACAGACTGACCTTTCTCTTATTGAATAGCCACTGAGTGACAAAAGGAATCTGTCCTCATCAGACTGGAGGTTAGATCTGGCTTTCAGCTACTGTTGGGTAACCCTTTCTGAAATCCATGAGATTCTTCGTGGTAGTTTTATAATTGATATGACAAATTCAAATGTGTCTGACTGGCCCTTAATTATGAACTTTTCTCTGATGTGTGAGGAGTGCACTATGTGAAAATTATCCAGGGTTATTCTTTTTCTTTTTTTTTTTTTTTTTTGGTTTTACGAGACAGGGTTTCTCTGTATTGTTTTGGAGGCTGTCGGTCCAGCCTGGCCTCGAACTCACAGAGATCCGCCTGCCTCTGCCTCCCGAGTGCTGGGATTAAAGGCGTGCACCACCACCACTCGGCATCCAGGGTTATTCTTAAGGCACCAACACAGGGTAATGCCAGCTCTCCTCATTTCTCCTTTATGCGCTTGAGCTGCAGGAGGACCCCTGCCGTCTGCATGCTCCTTAGGACTCATATCCCACCTAACCTGCGTGTCCTACAGTAAATAATATGGGCCACATGAGTGTCACCATGCTTGCCCTGCAAAACACTCATCCACTTTTAGTAAAGGGACTGTTAGGCAAGAGACAGAGGGGCAGTTCATCAGGACAATTCAGGCTTTCCTGGGACAACCCACCTTGATGACAGGAACTTTACTGTAAGTCAGCAGCAGCATGTCCTGTGCTCTCACTGTGGGCATTTTCATCTTGAGAAAATACACCACCCAAAATCTCAATTTCAGAAAGCCAGTTATTGACCATGACCTTCTGTCCTCTCTGAACTGTTGGAATAATTCACAAGGCATCATGTGATTCCTAACTTGTTCTTTTCATTTTATTTTATTTTTTTTCCAGGGAGATTCCTTTGTTCAATACAGACAGTCCTTAGCAAATACAGCCACCTTCCCTCCCTCTCCGCTGTCCATCAAGCTTGGAAGACTTAGGACACCACTGTGTCTTCTTCACGCCTCCACTTGAGCACTTCATGCCACTAGATGGAATCACTCAAGCAAATGGGTAGAGATCACTATGAATTTATGAGCAAAAGCCTCAAACTGGCAGCAATCCCCCGTTGTTGCTTGCTTTCTGGTACCATCTCATTTCCCTTTATAGGTCTTCCTCTGCCATTTTAACTGTAACATCACCCTCAAGCTTATTTGTCTTCCCTTCTTGCCATTCAAAGCCTATAGACCAACCTACACACACATTTGCCTTAAGTTCATGTCCTTGTGGCCAAGGCCAATCTCTCCCTTGCATCTGGATCTCATGTCCATTACTTTCAGGTTCTCCCATTGTTTTCAGAGTCTCAGGAAGAATTAGTTACATGGGAAAAAACAATGAACATTCCATATTAATGTAATAACAGTGGTAAATTAGGTCTAATAGGATTGTTTTTGAATGATAGTTTTACTCTAGAAAACTCATGCAGAATACTTCTACAAAATCAATCTCTTTAACCTACAATGACCCATGATGTTTTATGGCAAATCTTCTGTTTGCTGACTAAAGTTCACAATCTAATACCATTCCTAGCCATGTAATATAATACCCCAGTTGCTCTGGTTAGGTAGGTTTTGTTGTTGTCCCTTATAGAATGTCTTGCCTTTACTTCACTACTCTCTCTTTTCTGCTTATCTAGCTAGTGGAAGAACAATCACTGTTGTGTATCTAAGGCAAACTACCAAACCAAACCATTTAATAAAATTATTGGAATTCTGTAATATTTGCTTTATTTTATATTAATAAGTGTCTTATTTGGGGTTTATATTGCTGTGAAGAGACACCATGACCATGGAAACTCTTACAAAGGAAAAACATTTAATTGGGATGGCTTGCATTTTCAGAGGTTGAGTCCACTATCATATCATGGTGCCACATGGCGGCATGTAGGCAGACATGGTGCTGGAGAAGTAGCTGAGAGTCCTGCATCTTGACACAGCAGGCAATAGGAAGTGGTCTGTCTCATTGGTACGGCTTGAGCATACATGAGACAGCAAAGCCTGCCTCCACAGTGACATCCATCCTCCAAAAAGACCACACCTGCTTCAACAAGGCCACACTTCCTAATAGTGCCAATCTTTGGGGGCTATTTACTGTCAAACCACCACATTAAGAGATATATTGAAAATATACAATGGCTTATTCTAAAGAATTCTTTAAACTCTATATTACGTATTTCACATTAAAAAGGTAAAAAAAGAAAAGCTGAGTGTGGTGGCACATATGTATCATCCTAGCACTTGGGATGCTGAAGTAGGAGATCAAGATTGTAAGGCCAATCTGAGCTATGTAGCAGAATTCCACCTTAAAAGACAGAAACAATATGAAAAAGAAAAGAAAACTAAAAACCAATATAATGAACATCTATGTACCTATTTCCTAGCTTGAAAATGTTAAGATTTTCCAGATTTAATTGAATTTAACTTCCCCAATTATTTTCAGAAATTTCAGGCCCTATCACACACAGCAAGTTTATTTTTATTTTTATATATGCAGCTGTAACCAATTAAAACTTTTAAATACTTGACTAGAATGCTGTTTTCACATTTTACAAAATCAACAACTCCTTCAGAGCATCTCATACATAGTTGATCAACATTGGAACTATTAAAAATTTTGGTCAGATAATCTCCATGTATAGATGCTCTGGGCACCGTGGAGTGTTGGAGCACCCCTGGCCTCGGCCACTAGATGTTTGTTTCCCAGATGTGACAACAAAAAACGTTCCATGCTGGAGGTAAAATTCACACCACTGATCTAATACACGTTACTATTTATGCTACAGTTGTGATGGTCTTTGTGTGGGTACGTATATACACTTGGGTAGGATTTAAGGAAGAGGATTCTAGCACTGTACACTAGCAAACAGAGGTAAGGTAGATTGGCACTGTACCAGGAAAAGTCACAAAAGGTGACAGTAACATGGGGGATGCTGGGGTCTTGAAGGCAAAAGAGAAAACATCCCTGGTGTAACCATGGTGACTGGTTGGAGAGCCATGCTCTGGTGAAAGCAGGTTAGCATCTTCCGGCACACGTGTGCAGGTGTTTGGCAGCAGAGGAATGGCTCCACAGATGCACCTGTAACTGGAGTTTAGGGACGAGAACCGGGCTGTTTGTGGGTGGTTGGGAGCACCTGGCAGAAATGTTTACCCTGATCGCGGACAACAGGCTGTTCTTTGAGCCTAATGCACTGTGTGTGATGCTTCTCTCCTGTGGTGCCTAAAGCAGACTTGGGAAATCAGAAAACACATGTGCACTTGAAAGGAATTTCACATCCAGACTGGGATTACTAACTGTTCGGAAAGGAAGGATGTCATAAAAAGGATGTGACGGCACAGTGAATGGAGTTCATGCTGGAAGAAAACCATGCACGGATGCATAATTAAAGTGCCAAAGTGAGTCGGGAGCCCACCAAGTAGTCCAATAGTCATACAAACTGACTAATACAGAAATTGCGTGCCATCAGTGAAAGCTACATTTAGCAATTAACATAAAGGTTGAAAACAAAGGGGGAATATACTAGGTGAGTTCCAACATAAAGGGAACTTTTATACTAGTAATTGCAATTAGAATAAAATCCAAGGGCAAATGAAAGGTCACATAGAAATAGTTAATACTAATGTGTGCAAAAAAATGAGACATACCATATTTCTGAATTGGAAAAGGCACTGTTTTGGAAACTGTAATAATCAAATACATTTACACACACACACACACACACACACACACACACACTGTATCTCATTCAAATCCTATGAATTGACTATAACAATCATATGCTCTTTAGAAGGTAGATTAGAGACGATATTTTCTTATTTCCATTCTTGGAAATTATCCTAATGTCAGCACGGGTGCCTCAGCTCCTCTAATTTATATGAAGAAGGATGGGTGACACTGAATGAGGCCCACCCATACCAGGTATTAGACTTTCTGGTGGATCTGGCAGCTATACCTTTTACTGTCTAGCCAAGAAACATGGGAAAAGTGAATATATGTGATTTGAGAGTAACAGTGGAAGACTACTGTCCAAACCCTAAAATAGTAAAAGGATTGGAGCAAGCTCATACCAACAAGTTTAAAGATTTAGGTGGAAAAAATCATTAGAAAAGCAGAATTTGTATTGACAGTTACAAAAAAACGTAATCCACATGGTCTGTTTGGGTTCTGCCTGCCATCAAAAGAAAGACAACTCAAACTCAATACAATGTCTCCTAGAGAACAGAGAAAAAAAGTAAAACATCATAATTGATGCAGTATTGACTTCAAAACCTGCACACATTACAAAAAAGGAGAGGACACATGAGTCTGGCATTCTCGGTAAGATAAGACCATGTAGAAATACATATATTGGTAGTTATGGGTTAATACTTAAGATAGAGCTAGCCTATAAGAAATCCTAGTCACTGGCCAACAGTTATAATTAATATAGTGTCTCCTGTGTTATTTGGGGACTTTGAGGCAGCTGTTGAACTGGGTGGGAACACTATAACAGGTAGAGGAATGTAATCCACATGGTCTGTGTGGGTTCTACCATCAAAAGAAAGACAACTCAAATTCAATACAACATCTCCTAGAGAACACAGAAAAAAGTAAAACACCACAATTGATGCAGTATTGACCTCAAAATCTGCATACATTGCAAAAAAGGACAAGAAAGTTCATTTCTCTCATGAGCATTGATGCCAGAAATCCTAAACAAATTATGAGCAAATTGAATCTAGTGATACTTAGAGAGATAATAGTTCATGACCCAATGAAGTTTACTTAAAGAATGTGAAAGCAGATTAGCTTTCAGAAGAAACTGAAATGATAAGTCAGAGTCTGGGGAAGAAGGGAGTGAGGAGATACAGTATTATGATGTCACTTCTCCCCAGATTGTATAAATCTGTCAGGATTTTACTGGACAGGAATGTGACAATCTGATTCTCAAGGATGAATGGAAAAGTAAAAGCAAGAAAAACCAAAAATTGATGGAGAAATGTTTGTCTTATTGGTTGATGAATAAAGCACTGTTGGTCAGTAGGGAAGCAAGATAGGTGGGACTAGCAGTTGAGGAGGATTCTGGGAAATGTGGTAAAGAGTAGAGGGCAAGTTGCCTGTGTTCCCGGGAAGAGAAGATGCATGAGGCTGGTGTCTTTGGTAAGATAAGTCCTTGTAAAAATATATAGATTAGTAGTTATGGGTTAATAATTAAGTCAGAGCTAGTCACTAAGTAACCATAGCCAAAGGCCAACAGCTATATAATTAATATAGTCTCTCGTGTGTTATTTGGGGTTGACAGAACATTGGGACCAGGCTGGCGGGAAGAGTTATCATAACAAAGAATAGCTGGCAGGCAGTTTCTCAAAGGGAAATAATTGTTTTTCTATTAACAAAACATACATGTATCATAAGGGCAAGGTATGGTTCTGGAATAAACAGTAAGTTGAGCTATGATAAAGGTGATATTTCACACATTTATACAGGAATGGGTTTAATAATTACTAACATTCAGTACTAAGATCATGTAAAGAACAACATGTGGGTAGGTACATGGCCAAAGCCTTTTTGGAAGGCATTTGATAAGCATTTTACTTAGAAATTTGTATATGCTTTAACCCAATAACTGCATTCTTAGGCATTCATTCCAGAAAGATATGTGTATCAGTGTAGGACAGGGCTTTGAGGACCTGTGAATGTCAGTGGAAAACAGATTACAATGGAACATCTTTGTTGGTAAGGTATTGTATACCTTCTTTGTGGAGTATGATGCAGCAGCTGAAATAAATGAAGTTTAAATGAGAAGTTCATGTAAGTCCCAGGCCGCATCTTATGGACATTTTAAAGTTGGAAGAGAACTGAGGAATAATACATGCTATGTAATTCCACTAATGTCAAGAGTGTCAATTGTGTCTGTGTGAGTTGGGTGACATGGCAGTCTTGAGTTTATTGTTGTACTGATATGGAGACTGGAATGAATTTGATCTTCAGAACCCAGGCTTTACAAAAGCTGTGCGTTGTGGGTATACTTGTAATCTTAGCACTGGGGAGATGGAGACAGGCAGATTCCTAGGGCTTGATATTTAGTCAGCCTGCCCTGATTGGTGGGTTCCAGACCAAACAGAGTCTGAGGAAGGCCAGTCTGAGGTATCTTACGAGCTCTGCATGCACACGCACACATGGACACACACTTGCACACAGATATGGCGTGTACACATATATACACACTTGCACACACTCAAATATGTACACATATGCGTGCATACATACAGAACTTATTTTTGTATGTCAGGATTATGAGGTAAAGACTAGGAGTGGGCAAACCAGTTAGGAGCTACTACAGAGGCCCTTAGAAGAGACCACATGACTGGAGTTTGGAGCAGCAACAGAAATGGGAGTGGTCAGTTCTGTATATATTTTGAAGACAGGATCAATTAAAATGTACTAGAGATGAGAATGGGAGGGTGTCGTGGCAACATTGTGGTCAAAGAGGTCTCACTAGAGGGACAGTGAGGGGACAGATGAAGACAAAATAGCCAGTTTTCCCGGGCTGTGCAAGGAAGCAGATCTATGAGGTGGGAGAAATAAAAGGGTTTTTTGTTTGTTTTGCTGTTGATGAGTTAGTTTATTGTTATTTTGTTATATTTTCTGGGGCTCTGTTAAACAATGGCATATCAGTATGCTGAATCTGATCCAGGAGCCATGGG